GGGGGGGGGGGGGGATGGGTACTGCTGGAATTGACTGACGCATTACGCTTAAACAACCTCTGTGGCATTCACCATTATTTTATAAGTGACCTTACTAAAAAAAAACTAAAAATTTGGAAATAAATGTGCAGAAATCAGCCATTTGAATTAGCCTATGTTCATAAACAATATTAACGCAAAACATGAAAAGTTCGACCAGCTTAGCTACAGATTTTTTCTTGACAGAGGCAATATTTTCTTACAAGTCCCTCATGATCAACACAACGTACAGCTGAAAAACTGCTGTTATCGTAAAAATTTACCCACCTTAGAAATTTTTTCGATCAGCACAAGATGACACCAAGCGATCCAAAAATTTAACTTCCCTTTCCTCAACAACAAGGTTACTTTCGCTGAAGAACACTTGACTATTTTTTCCTTTCCCTATTTTTCCTTTCCTGCTTGTCTCTGATTGGATACTGTTCTCAAAGTTTACGATTTTGATTCGTGAAATGTTTTGGATTTTTGGGCCGCCTATATCAACCCATAACTCCACGCGCCAGTCAACTTTGGATGGAGACCTGGGTAGGAGTCCCTGATCAAAGATAGGACTCCCCTTTAGCAGACCTTACTCGTGGCCGGCCATCTTTGAATCTTTGTACTGACGCAGTTTGTTAGACTTCCTTTTTTAAGGACGTTTAACGACTCTTATTTTAGCCCAATGATGAATCGAAGCAATAACAATAGTAGGCGAGTTTACGTTGGAAACTTGCCTTCTAACGTAGACGAAAGAGATTTGGAAGATATCTTTTACAAATACGGAGAAATTGCCGACGTCGACTTGAAAATTCCTCGTTATGGTACTGGAGGCACACCGTTTGCTTTCGTCGAATTTAATGACCCAAGGTAAGAAAGGAATACTTAAACTGAAGTTCAACCCGTATTTTATAACTAGACTTGTTTAGTTATACACTCGCTTAGTGTTATGTGCTTGTTTGGCGATTTTTCCTCGGTCTTCTTCGAGCGGCGTCGTTTCTATCTTGCTCGATCGGGTTTCGTTTTCTGACGCTGATCCATTTCTTCCTGATACATTTTAGCTGTTGCGCAAAGTGCTGGCTTGTGAGAAAAGCTTCTTTTCAAGAAAACTAATTCGTCATCATGGATTTGTTCTTTTCTCAGCATTCGCTATTTTAATTTTTTACGCAACTGTGACGAAACAGTCAGATCCATGAATTCAGCAGTTATAAGTTTGTGCCCGAAGAACTGTATTGTTTCCACGGTTTTGCATTGCGGTGGGAAGAGTTAAGTTTCTTTTGAAGAAAGTTCCTGGCGTTTCTTTCTTGGCAAGATTCGGGTTCAAAGCTGTTGACAGTGAATGGCATGAAAAATTTATGAGTGAATAAAACAGTCAAGATCGGATTCGTCACCTGTCAACATCATTTTGGCTTGTAACTTAAATTTCACTGCAGGACACTCCTTGTATTTTCATTTCTTTGTGTTTTGGTTTGTCTTAATAGCCTGTTTTCAAGTTTTCTGCACCAACTTTAACTGAAAAAGGAATAAATTGTTTATTACCTTATAGAGATGCTGAAGATGCAGTCAGAGGGAGAGATGGATACGAATTTGATGGTCAGAGGATTCGTGTAGAGTTTCCACGTGGTGGACGTGGGGGTGGCCGATCAGGTGGAGGATTTGGTGGTGGTGGCTATGGTGGTGGTGGTGGTGGTGGTGGTGGTGGTGGCGGTGGTCGTGGTCCTCCTCCACGGCGCTCTGAGTACCGAGTCTTAGTCTCTGGGTTGCCTCCCACTGGTAGTTGGCAGGATCTCAAGGACCATATGCGAGATGCTGGTGATGTTCAGTTTACTGACGTTTTCAAGGATGGAACTGGTATTGTGGAATACTCTCGTTATGACGACATGAAATATGCCCTGAAACATCTTGATGACTCCAAGTTCCGTTCTCATGAGGTAACACTAACTTTTCAGTGAAAATAGTTTATTGTGGAGCCCATTTCATTCAGTTTATCTTGAAAAACAATTGTCTTACATTTTTCTCTTCTTCCTGTTGTCATTTAGGGTGAAGTTGCTTTCATTCGTGTAAAACAGGACAATCCTGGTGGAGGCCGTGGGTCACGAAGCCGTAGTCGGTCACGTTCACGAAGCAGATCCCCAAGAAGGAAGTCCCATTCCCGCTCCCGCAGCCCTCGTCGATCATATTCACCAAAGAAATCCAAGTCCCCTTCCAGATCACCGAAGAGGAGAAGATCTGGCTCTCCAAGGCGTTCTAAATCTCGTTCACGTTCACGTTCATAGACATTCCACTGCATTCCTGTTATGTGTAGTTCTGTTCTTTATTGTTTTGATGTAAGAGAAGGCATAAATAGAGTGACGTCTTAGCTGTAACAAAAGATAGCTTTTTATTTCTGATTTTGTGTAGTCAGGCACATCTTTTACTCTTCCATGATATCATTTTCAGGGCTGCACAAGCAAATTGTGATATTGGAAAGGAAAGCTAGGAAAGAAAACAACAATAGATGTTTCTGCACTTAACTTGCTAAGGAAATCAGAAACTGGATAAGGAACCAGTGGATTAAAATACCCTCTGGGAACAATAGGATCAATTGGACATAGGACATTTTCTTTGGATATCATGGTATGCATGGTTTCTCAATTATGATGATAAACCTACATCAGAAATTGACACTTTTTTTAAGACTGCAGATGGGTAATTATGTTAATGTGAACCCATTTAAAGACCTTTGAGTTCCATTTGATTAAGACAATGTATTTGGTTTCATTTTAATTTAATTTTGATGTATGTGCAAAAGTAAAATACTGTTCCAGCAAGCAAGAATTAAAGAACAGTAAGTCTTAAATAATGTGGCTGACTACTGCATGATTCTCAGTACTTTACTTAAAGACAAGCAGCATTCCTGCATTTTTCCTCTCAAGCATGCTGTGTTGTTTAAAATTGAAAGAAATTATTGACAAGTTAACTTTTTATAATTCTGTGACAGATCTAAAGCTGTCTGGAGGAGACCGGATCCTCTCATGTCAGTGATCACGGAATAGCATAGGAACTGGAGGTCAGCTCCAGTACAGTTTTGGGACAGAACATTGGAAACAATCAGGAGTCAATTTTTTGGAACTCATTCATTCGCCAGGATAGGATTTGGATGTAAACTCTTTTGGCAGTTGCCAACATTTTTGGAGGAAAATCAGAGTTTTGGATGGAGGAAAAGCAATGACTATCTTTCAAATATAATGGTCTCTCAAAGTACTCTTCCATGGAGGGTAGCCTCAATGTGGTATGATGTTTTACAAGTTCAGTTTAATGAAATTTCCAATTAAACCAAACATAAGCTCATCCAAAACATATCCTAAGAAAAAAAAATGACATTTTATTCCTTCCAATGTGAGGACTTTCCCCCTGTTTGTGCTTCATAACAAAGGGTAGTGGTCTATTACTTTCTTTCTTGCACCATGTTGCATGTGTTTTGACTAACATTTTTGCTTCAGGAACACAGTCTACCGGATTTGCTTGCAGAAAACGAATGCAGGGATGTGAAGTAACCAGTTGACAAGTATCCTATCGTTGAGGTCATGTCATATACATACATGATTATCATTGTTTGGTCAAACTGAGTAAAAGTTATTATGGAATCACAAATTGTTGTTGATCTTAATTTTTCTCTTCCTTATCATGGTGCATTGTTTTTGATGTGGGTTGGTGATTCCAGTGCAGGAATACCCAGTTCAAGATGTGTAAAGGAAAGCCTCTATTTGGCATAAAAATATACTCAGAAATTTGTCTGTGGACAATATCTGTTCCGAGAAGCAAACAGTTCCAAGGTTGAACTTTGGGTAAAAGTAGGAGCTTCAAGGAACAGATGATGTTGAAGGACAAACATGCAAGCATATTTTTAAAGTCAAATGGCAGCTGTTGTGTTTATTATCCTTCAAATATTTTTTGCAACACCATGCCAAGCATAAGGTATGCTGACTGGACCATTGTCATCCCAGGGAGGCTCTGGATACCTTTTGATTACCACTCAGGCAGTCAATCACTTTTAAACAGTGAAGTCCACAACAAAAAAAACAAGAATGGCAGTCATTTTAAATTCCCTTTTGCAAGGTCTGTAGATGTCGTTTTTGTTTGGACGGAAAACATTTTGATTTTCTTGGCCGAATTTTAGACAAACCCAAAATGACAGGTGATTGTTGTGTTTTAGTGTGGACAGAAAACATTTGATGTGCATTCAGCTTGAAACCTCCATTTTCAAATTCGTAGTATGGACAGGTCCTTCAGTCTCTAAAAGAAAGAACAGGAATGGATCTCACCTCGAAGTGCGTTTTACAGCACTCTATTGACCTTTTTTGCTTGGGCAGTTTGCTGTCCCATTGCAGACCACATGATATTCTCAAGAGAATTGTTCTTTTATCCATCTAAAATTTATTTATTCATATACGCGCAACTATTTGAAAATTTGAAAGGAACAATTCTCAAGAGTATCATCACATGGTCTGAAATGGGGCAACAAAGTGCCTGCTACTCATGTTAAAGTGTCATCGGCATTTTGTGGAGCATGTGACCAAAAGAA